CTTAGCAGCCCACCTGCTTGTGCTCCCAGGCTTGCTTGACTCTGAGATGACTTGTCTGATCTGCTCACTTCCCTTGCCCTGCCTGTAAGGCAGCACCCAGCTTCTTACAGGGCTTTATTTATTCACCCTGGTGCCTCCTGCTTTGCCCAATGGTGGGCTGCAGCTGTGCATCTTGCAACCCGTTTCAGAAGAGATGACAGATGCCTCCATCTTCCCACTTGCAAACTGGGTGCTGTAGCCAGGAGGTTTCAGTTTCTGCCTGCTTGTTGCTTTGGGCAGTTCTTTCCAGGTAACTGAAGATGAGTCCCACTTCATGGGAAGCTTGATGGAAGCAGGACTGGGCGAATACACACTTCTCTGATATGCTTTGTAAAAATGAAACCAAATAACAATAAAAATTAAGTCTGAGTAGTGGGAAGGGGGGGGGAAGAATGCAACAAATGGAGCATTGGAAAGTGGACTGTTTGAGTGCACCAGAAGTATTAAACCTGGCTTCAGTGTGCTTGTGCATCTTTAACTTCTTTTCTCTTTTCCACTGAAGATCCCAATACTGAATATTCAGGTGAAAATATTCCCAGCTCTCTGTACCGTCGCAGGAACCATATTTTCCTGTACAAACTACTTTGGCGTCATCTTCACAGGTGGAGTTGGCAAAAATGGATCCACCATAGCAGTGAGTACTGGGTTTGCTCATTTCAGTTCCTTTCCAGCATGCTGTTGCTTTCCAGCCATGACCTTGGTTTTCATTTCACGTGAAGGAGGCGTGATGGTGATGCTTTCTGTTCAGTTCTTTGACTTGGGGAGAAAAGTTAAGATAGGCTGTGTAAGAATAGCTTTAGAATCAAAGGTATTAAATGTCTGTGTTTAAGAAAGCTGTGGTGCTTTGATGTTTTGTCTGGTTAATTCACAAGCAAACAGGTAACAGAAATATGTATTTCCAAAAAGTTCCCAGGCATCCAGTGCAGAAATCCATTCAGAAGGAAACTGGTCAAGCAGACCAGCATGGCTTTGCTCATTCTGAGTAATATTTACATTACCAGTTAAAAAGTATAGATTTCTGTACAGGTGTCTTCTGCTACAGCAGGCAGTATTGACTGTGAAGCCCAGGGAGCTTTTCACAAGGCCAGATTAACAATGGCTTGCTGCTTAGAAGGCTGTTCTGTTGCTTTTTAAGCTTCACAGAGGGAAATCTCTCCCAGCTTCAAGTCAGCATCAGCCCCTGCCTGGGTGATGAGTGGCAGCACGGTGCAGTTCTTGCTCTTGTTGTTCAGCACAGGAGAGGTTTGGCCACGCGCTCAGCTGGCGCTGGCTGGAGTTTCCCCACATCTTGTTCCTGTTGTTGCTGGTGCACAGCACTTGCTTTTCATGTGTTCTTGGTTTAAAAACCACACGTCTGCACGCCACGTGAGCGTTTGGCTGGCTGAGATTATTTTACAACGTGCACATTGTCAACTTCATGCCTTTATCTCACTGCAGGGAACCAGCGTCCTTTCACCTTTTCTTCATATTGGGTCAGTGATTGCGCTCGCTGCAATGATCTACAAGAAATCTGCTGTGCAGCTGTTTGAAAAGCACCCCTGCCTGTATATACTTACTTTCGGTTTTGTATCTGCTAAGATAACAAACAAACTTGTGGTAAGTACACCAGAGTTTCGGGTTATTGCAGTAAGACTTCTTGTAACTCTTCAAGTTCTCTGGTTATTCCATCAGCTGACTTGCATCTGTTTTGTGTAGCAAAGTGATAAACACACTTCAGTAGCTTGGAGGTGCAGGGGATGGAACACGAGTTTTCTTCCACTTGGAACGGCAGCAGTGAACATCATGCTGATGCCATGGTTACACAGAGAGTACAGCTTTCAGCCCTGGGTTCTGTCTCTCCATCCATCCATCTGTCTCTCCCCCCTCTGCAGCTGTTCATTCACATCTCTGCCATGAGAAGGGCTGGAGAAGAGCTGGCTGAATCCCTCTCCTGATGTGTGTGTGTGTGTGAGAGAGGAATGTTTGCTGGGGGAGGAGATAAGCTGACAGAGCTGTGGGAGTCTGGGACAAGAGCTTGAGTTGAAGTTAAGCAATTGGAGAGAAATAGTAGTGAGAATCATTTACTGGGTTGTAGCAGGGAGCTGATTAACCAAGTGCTGCCCCACGCTGCCCCAGTTCTGTGGCAAACCAGCATTGCTGCTTTCACCAGGCACCTGATGCATTATACTGCAACGTGGCTTTAACTGCAGCTTTTTTGGCTTTGGGTGAATCACTGTCAGTATGTTAATGTCTCAACTTCCTTTGTTTTTAACTGCAGGTTGCACACATGACCAAAAGTGAAATGCACCTGCACGATACAGCTTTCATAGGCCCGGCTCTGTTGTTTCTGGACCAGTATTTTAACAGCTTTATTGATGAGTATATTGTACTCTGGATTGCCCTGGTAAGTATGGGCTCACCTTGTCAGTCATCACTGCAGATATTTGGTGCTCTTTTCCTCCATGCTGTTGGCACTGGTTGAACCTAGCTGACTCACCTTGAGGATGGTGGCACTGGGGACCTGCTTGACTGAGTTGATTTTTAAGCAGCCCTTTATACAAACCGAGGTGAAGAGGGTTTGCTTGGTGCATAGTTCATGTGGTTGTAAAGCAATGCAGCAGATCTTCAGAGCTTTGAGTGTTCTGAAGGTCTGTGATGGTGCCTTATCAGGAAGGGAATGTGTCATTTGTGGTGCAGGAGCAGCATGGCTCTGCTTTCATCTTGTGATGACAAGTGTGCCCACAGTTACTGGTAGAACACATTAGGAAAAGTCTTAGCATTAAACTCATCTACATTTTTCAAGCAGTCAGCCATTACCTGTCAGTGTTCACCTAATAAAGTTGATGGCCTGCAGTTATTGCTGTTTGGAGCTGAGAGGGGAATTTCACAGCATTTGTGTAGCGAATGGAGTCTTCCTTGGACTCTGCAGTTTGCATTTTCTATTTCACAAAGCTGAAGGCAGTTCAGCATTTTTAGGAACTGCCTGCAGACAGCATTTGCTCCTGCAGAGCTGGAGATCTTCCTCTCGAGAAGAGCCCAAGGGTTATTTTCTTTCTGAAGCACGCGGGTCGTGTCACACCGATGGCGTGGAGCTGATGTGTAACTCTTCCTTTGGCAGATCTTTTCCCTCTTTGATTTGCTCCGATACTGTGTGAGTGTATGCAACCAGATTGCTGCCCATCTGCACATCCACGTGTTCCGAATCAAGTCCTCTTCCACTCATTCTAATCACCATTAATAAACGGGGAGCCACCATGGAGGAAAACGGGAAAGGAGTTGGTTTTCTACATGAGGAGGGCAAGATGTGTCGGAGACTGAGGCAAAAAGCAGAAAAGAGCAAAATCTGTCGTCATCAATGTTGTATAACTCTTACTCTCTGTTATCAGTAACACTCCTTAACTAGTCTCCTGCCTGAGAGAGTGAATTCCAAGCACACCCTTAGCTCTACATGTAGTCAACTCTGTTGGTTCCGAGCCCAGGAAAGCATGCAGAGAGCATTGCTCTCTTTGTAATTACTTTGATTACAGAATAATCTATGTATGGTGAATGGATCCCCAACAACTGAAGTTTCTAATGTAGTATAATTACAGCTGCAATACGACTTGCTTTTAATTTTAATATTTCGTCATCTCTTAGTGAAATACTTGTTTAGTGTCCACTTGAAATTCATTTACTAAAGACCTGAGCTGGTAACAGATATCTCACTAACTTGTGTGGCTGAAGCAGCTGTTGAGGCTTGAGTCCAGGCTGATGCGGTTCATTTGCTGCAGCATTGCTGATAGAAGTGGTTTCTTGGCTGGAGAACACAGAGCAGGGTTCTGCAGGAGGAAAGGATGACCAGCATGCAAAATAGTGTGGTATCTTTGTCAATTAATTTTATTTTTTTAAATAAACGTGATCTAAAAGACAACTTACTTCTCAATTTTCTTCAGTGGGAAAAACTTTAAAAAGAAGATTTTACTGTTTACTTTTTTATGTATGGAACTTAAGCAAGATTTCCTTTCTGCTCTTAATAAATAAGGATTCTGAGAGCAGCAGTTGTCTTCAGATGTGTGAGTTGCTCTGTCCTGTTGGATTGAAGTACTTAATGTTAAGAAGCAGCCACCCTGCCGCTTGAAAAGCAGTTTTCTAGTGCTGCAGCTGCACAGTGATGTCGTTCTGGGATCTCCAAGACTTCTCTGTGCTGTGTAATGTGGTAAGTTGCTCTTTATTCTGTTTCTAATACCAGTTCAAGTGTGGAGGCTGCTGGATTTAATGAAGGGTTGAAACGGGCAGAAGTGAAGTGCTGCAGTGCGTGCCTCGCTGTGGCACTAAGGTGAATTTTGGACCCTGAACAAAGGGCCCAGGTTTGCTGTGCAGAGCAGGATCTGCTCTGGTTGCCTGGGACTGTTGGTGGGACGTGCTGGGAGCCTGGAGGCTGAAAGCCCAGACCTGCCCATGAGGTGTCTGGCTGATGGTGATGGAGAACCGTCTGCTGGGAACCCGGAGCACAGCAGTGCTTGAAAACTGCTTCTTTTCTGAAAGGAGTGGATGTGGCTCATTAAAAGTCAGTGACAATAGAATGCTAAACCAAAGCCCCACTGGGCTGTGGGAAGTGGAAATGTGTATTTCCTGTGGCAGCCCAGTGAGTGGAAAACTCTCACAGGAAAGGGGGAGAAAATTCAGTTTCTCCTCACCCAAAAACCCTTCTTGCATCTCCTGGGAGAGACCCGGCATCAGTTTATTGTGGACAGAGGTGAAGTCTCCCCAGTGGCAACTTGGAAACACGGGATGCTTGAGAGAGAATGCAGGGGGAGAAGAGCTCTGGTTCAGTCAGATGTTTCCCTTAAGGAGGGAAGAAGTGGGGCTGGCTCCTGCTTGGGGCATTGCAGGCATTGGAGTGAGATGCTGACTTCTCCATGGCAGCACGTCCAGGTGCAGAAGTGCAGTCTTGGCTTTGCCTGGGTTGGAAGAGGCTTGCATCCTTTCTTGCATGGTGCTGCTCGCCCAGCAAGCGTGGTGGAGTTTGGTCACACAGCCTTCAGGGCAGCAGCTGCCCCAGTTCCAGGTAACTGAGATATAGATGGCATTCATGCTTAGTCTATCTAAACTGCATTCATCTGGATGAAGGTTCTGTCAGGGGAAGCCCAGCCTCTCACTGCTGCTCTTCAGGTGGTGGAGAAGAGTCTGCAGGACTGGCAGTGCTGGAAGCTGCTGAGTTTTCCCACTATGGGATTCCTTCCATCAGATGGGGGTGGGTGCAGAACTCAGGACCTTGGGAAGTCCCTGCTGAAGCAGTGGGGCAAACAGGGAGTTGTTCTCCTGGTTTTTAGGGTTTTGAGATTAAGCTGCTTTGAGTAACTTATCACTGATGCTTGTGACTGATTTGGTCAAAAACTGAAGTCTTTAAGGGGCTGCCAGGTCCAAACAAGCTGTGAGGAGGGAGTCCAATGCCTGTTGCAATGGGGAAATGCACTGTGATTCCTTGTTCCTGAGCTTTTTGTCAACCAAAAGCTGGAGCGACCTCAGGGATCCCTTCCCATGTCCGTGCAGATCAGGTTTCAGTGTTAGCAGAGGGCAGCATCCTGTTCATAAAGGCACATTACTGCTTGTAACCCCAGCCGTGCAGGGCACTGCTGTGGGCGTAGGGATTGTATAAATGCCTGCAACAAACGATGGAACGCGTGAACTTTGGCACTGTGCACTGCAGCCCTGCTGTTTGTGATCATAGGTTATCTCAGATATGCTTGTAGGCCTAAAGTTGTAGGAGGTTGAGGAGGAGCAGCATTTACACACTCACCCAGATCTTGTGACACTCCTTTTCCACTCTGTTGAATGCAGAAGATGCTGTAGAGGGAAAAGCTTTTGCAACAGCAGCCTCTGCTTCCTGCAGCACTGCATGGACCTCACATCCTTCAGAGCTTGTAATGAGGTTTCCTGTGAAACCAGCGAGGGAAGCTGAGAATGTGAGTTGGTGCTGGACTGCTGCATGCTGTAAGGACTGATGGAGGGGTTCCCTGCCTTCAGCAAGGGCTTAGAGTGGGAAGAGGATGTTGAGATAGCTTGGGCTCTGATTCTGGCTCATCTGAGCATCAGTTGTGTTTCACGTTTGTGTTTTCTTCCTACCCTGCATTCACCCAGTGCCTCTCTGTGCCTGATTTCATTTGGGAATGGAGTTATGGAGAGGTTTAATCCTCAGGGGCTGAAGGCCGCAGCAGTGTTCTGAGGTCAGAGGCAGGAGAGCAGCGTGCTGATAGGAGCTGTGTGTTATTATCCTGCACTTATCTGAAAGCACTCAGCAATAGTGACTGTGCTGACTGGTAGGTTAAACAGGCACAGGGCTGTTTGCTGCTGCTGTGACACACCGTAACACAAACCTCATCTTCCACACGGGGCAGCTGTGCAGCAGAACCAAAAGCACGGAGCCCCTGCCTGCTGGTTGTTTGTTCTGCTGGGAGCTGCGCTCACAGCTTATCAGAAATGAGCACTTTCCAGTTCAGGGCAACGTTTCCTGGCATTGCTTTATTTACTGTTGCAGACTTAGAGCAAAGTGTGAGACAGACCTTGAGCAGGAAGAAGGGTTTAAAAAGGCACTGAGTTTTGCTGGTTGGCTGCAATGTGAGTTGAGCACGGCTGCAAGCAGCTGCTGTGGGAGGCAGCCCAAAGAAAGGAGGGGATTTTCTTCAGCACCTGCCCTGCTTTTTAGCACTGGATCTGCTTTCTTTGCTGCTCTTGCTGCACATCCCTGAGGTCCAGGTTCTGGGTGTTACAGGGCAGGGTGTTGTTAAAGCTGTTGCTGGATTGTGCTGCCCTGGTGAGTGAGTACTTCTATCAGTCAAGCTGATTTTCAATGTTGGGCCAACCCAAATCCAGAAGCTCTTAGTGCTCACAGATCAGAAACATCACCAGTCATAAAGGTGTAGGAAATGAGGGCTGAGCTGTGAGGAAATTAGAGCATAACGCAAGAGGAAAAAGACAGGAGAAGAGGTGGGGGTCAGGATTTAGGGGCCTGGGGCAGACTGTGGCCCCGGGTTTTTCTCCTTCCTCTCTCATTGAATCATAGCCCACGCAGTATGTCATAAAATGCATTGCAGTTACACCTTGCTTGAGGAAAGGAGCCGTTTTTGCACACCTCCATTCTCTTTTCAGCAGCAGTCACTTTCCATTGGGTGCTTCTCAGGCAGAAGCAAAGCAGCTGCAGCTTCCAGACCTTCAGGCGAGTGGCGATGCTTCATTACTGAAGAGCTGCTGCCAAAGCAGGGACCACTTCCCTTTCTCCTCAATGAGATGTTATGCAGCTCAGCAGGTCAATGACTTCTCCAAACGCCAACGAGTGAGAAGGAAAAGTGGGAGAGCGGTTTGTGCAGAGAGGATAACAGCTGCTTATTAACGCCCTGCATTTCCGCTTCCCCTTCTGTGGTGGGAGATGAAAATTTTGGGGAAAAAAAATAAATAAAAGCACAGCCAACGTTCACTGCTCTTTAATTTCCCATAGGCTGATGGTAACTGTCTCACTCCCCATGATTTGGGACTTGTGGAGGCAAAGACGACGCCTGCAGTGCCCAGCCCCTTTGTGCCCTGACAACAGCTCTCATCCTCCCCCAACCCAAACAGAAGCGGAGCAAAAAGTCACCATCCTTATTGCAGCATGGCTGGGCACATCACTGCTCTTCAGCAGCACTTCTGCTGCTTCTGTTTGTGCAGGGCTGCAACAAATGCCCTCTGCTTCTGCCTCAGTTCTGTCAGGGTCCCAGCAGCTCTGACCAAACATCTGCAGGTGGATCGTGTTATTAAATGTCTCCAGCAGCTCAGTGCCACCATGGGGGGAGTGGAGGAGGAAGGAAGTTATATTAAGAGATATTACGATGTCTGAGATGGGGCAGTTTGGCCACGCAGCCTTGGAGAGGAGGATAGAGCTCTGCCTTCCTCCACACCTCCTGCTGGGAAAAGCCAGCATCTCTCCCTGCTCATCCCTTCTCTCCCCTGGGAAGATCCACTGCCAGGGAGGAACCAGGCAGACCTGCAGCTCTGAGTCTGTGCAGCAGCCCTTGCTTCCTGTGCAGATGCATTAGAAAAAGGGGAGAGCAGTAAGGGTATTTTAAGGGTACTTTAAGTCTGCTGCAGGCATCACGCTTCAGTGGCAGCACTGAGATGAACCACAGTGATACAGCAGGGGTTGGCATCAAACCCAGCAGTGAGGAGGACGTTGCCACGTTTTACTGTGAGTTAACCAGCACTTCCTCCTCCCCAGCTCTCCTCTCTCTGCTGCAGATCAGAGTCCTGTGACTTTCAGGTTTGCTTATGCTGTGAATAAGTAGCTGTCAGTTCATTTCCCCAAGCAGCTGAAGTGGTTCCATGCGTTACCAACAAAGACAGCAGATACCAGAATCCTCAGAAACTATTCCATAGGATGCTACCTATTTGCCAAACCCACACTTGGCTTACTTAGAAATTAACAGTGTTCCCTACTCATCACTGGTCCATTTTCTCCTTTAGCAATGACCGGTCCTGCAGCTGCCCCCCACTTCCATCCATCAGCACACAGCGCTGGGGTTCCCCAGAGCAGCTCAGCGTGGGGCTGAGCACTGAGCCATGATCCTGGCCCAGCCGGGTGGGAGGAGACACCCCAGCCCGCCTGTGAGCTCTGTGCAAAACTATTTTCCAGTGCAATGGTGCCCTGAGGGGAAAAAGGGAAAGGGCAGAAACCGGTGCTGGGTGTTTTCCATGAGTCTCGGGCAGGACAGACCCAGCAGAATCCGGAGTGCTCTGCCCTTGGATGGGCACAGGTGGAACACACAGCCCTGCTGGGTGCCGGCCCTTCAGGCTGCTCTCAGGAGTCCCTTCGGTGCTTCTTCTGCTGGTGGTATTCTGTTATCTTCTGCTGGAAGTAGGCTGTAGGCACAGAAAGGTGGTTTGGGCTCAGCAAACAGGGCCAGCGCTGTCACAGCTGTGCTTGCAGCTCATGCATGGAACTGGAAGGTGGTGCATGGGGCTGGGTGGCACGCACTGGGTTACAGAGGGCCACATCCAGGGAGGTCTGGGTGAAACGGGGTTGTGGGGATCCTCCACCCACCACCGCTTCCCCCCCACAGTGAACTCAGGTTACACTCAGATCGGTTTTCACCCACATATTTGTTCCTGTTCCATTTTTGTGCTTTGTACCCAACCAACAAGGAAGAAAGCGGGAGACCATGAGAGTGCAAGCAGCTAAAAAAGGTGACACAGCAGGACCACAACAGCTCAGATTCTGCCCTCCGTCTGCTGCAGGTCTGTCCCTGTGTACCCTGGGCAGGGCGCAGCAGGCTGGGGAGATCCGTGTCCAAATCAAATATTTGTGCTTCTGTTGGCTGTCTGCCTAAGTGTCAAAATGAGCCCAGCTGGTTTCTGACTGCTAATAGGAACAGAGAAATGCACTGAGGGTAAATGGGTGCTCGGGTCCCACTTACTGCCCTGAGCATCCCCAGCACAGAGCTGCAGCCCTGTCCGAGTATGGGGCATTTTTTCCCCTTCTCCACCCCCCCCCAGCACTCTGCAGCCTCCTTTACCTTCCTGTGGGATCCTGCTCTTCTCTGCATCCTCAATAAATAAGGAGAACATGTTGGTCTTCACAAACTTCTTCACAAACCTGCGGTTGGTCTTGGAGGCGATGGCCTTACAGAATGCTCTCTCCTGGAAGGTGCCCAGGCCGTTTTTACTCCACTTGATGTGGGAGGAGTAATGCCCGACCAGACGGACAAAGAACTGCACAAAGGCCTCGGAGATGAGTGCGTTCAGCTGCTCGGATGCTGGGGGAGGACACAGCATTAGAGGTGGAGATGGGACTCTGTTATTCCAAATGGAGCCCAGGTCTCATTAGGAGAACCGTCTGCCCTCTGTCACCTTAACCCCATGTAAAGAGACGCCCTTACTGTGTATGTTGTTGTTGCTGTTGTGCCTGTTCAGAGATGCCAGCATCTCATTCTGCAGCTTGATGGGCAAGATCTCCTTCTCATCGCCCACCTGGAAGGCAAATGGGGCCATGAAGGATCCACGTGGCTGTGGAGGTGCCCAGGGGCTCTGCGGGGCCCTGTGGTTATGGTGTGCAGTGATGCTGGGGATGGGGTGCCCCACACAGAGGCTGCTGCTCGTGGGGCAGCACAGCGGATGGAGGAATCCCTTTGTGGGACACAAAGACGCAGAATCAGCGGATCATTAAAGTCAGAAAAGACCCCTGAGATCCCGAGTCCAACCCGACTCCATGTGCCCACCTATGTCCCTCAGGGCCACACGTCCACCATTCTGAACCCCTCCAGGGATGGTGACCCCCACCACTCCCAGTACCGAGGCCACAGCCCTGCCACCAAGAGGCAGCTGGGACAAAGTGGGGAAGGGGCCCTTCCTGGTGCTGTCCCTCAGCCCAACATCCTGAGTGGGGAAACCTACCGCCCTGAGGATCTTCCCTTTGCACAGATCAACTATCAGAGCCTGGAAGAGAGCACAGAACAACGGGCTGAGCAACCACAGCCATCTGAGACATCCGCTGCGCTCATCCCCATTGCTGCTTCCCACCCAGCACAAACTCAGGGTCACAGCTGAACCCAGCGCTCAGCCAGACCCCTTCACCCCTCCTGGCTGCAATAAATACCTCCTCCATGGGCTGCTCCAGCACTCGCTCCAGGTGCCGCATCTGGATGCCAACCATGAAGGGTGTGGGGCAGCAGACGGTGTCAAGGAGGCATTCAGGGACCACGGGGATGTAGGTGTGAGCCCACGTGAAGGGGTAGAGGAGAGCAGCCACAGCATGGATGCACTGCGAGAGGACACTGCGAGAGCACGAGGAGCTCAACCTGTGCTTCTCCCAGGGCCTGGGGGATATTTTGGGTAAAAGAAACGGCCCAGGACTGACCTCAGCTCCTCAGCCAGGAAGATGAGGCGCCGCTCCAGCACGGCGGAGGCGAAGATGTGCAGGATGAGGATGGGGCTGAGCCGCTGGAGCAGCGCTGGGAACTCCACGTGCTCCAGGTGGGCGTCCACAGGACGTGTGAGCACAATGAGCTGCGGGGTGAGAGCCACCGAGGTTGGAGTAAGGGGCAAACGTCCCTTCTGTGCCCACCTGAGCCTCCCAGAAGATGATTTGGGAGCAATTCGTGACCACTGCGCTGCCCAAACATCCTGGAGTTTGCAGCATCTGCATCGAGATCTCCTGCAAAGCACAGCCTTCCCCCTGTCCTGCACGGGGATTTGGGACACGCAGAAACAAAATGCAGGGGATGCCGCAGGCAGTGCCTACTGCAGCATTTACTGATTAGGGCAGTGGAGTTGTAACCCAAAGTTCTCCAGTGTTCACAAGGCCCCAGTAGGAGACCTCAGCACACAGCCTGCAGGCAGCGCTGGAGAAAGTCGCCCAGAAAAGGGAGGAAGGCACAACTTCTGATACGAAAACCACACAAACTTCCTCAAAAGCCACCCCAGGAGGGCAGGCACGCTTCATGCTTGCAAGGATGGAAAGGTGAAACATCAGGCTGCTGTTTGGTGGTGGTGTGTCCCTTCAGCTGGCTTTGCCCTGGGTGCACAGCCCCCAGCAGTGAGCTGTGACACAGCGCTGTGTGAGGTGGGACAGCCCTGTCACCTCTCTCCACCTTGCCTGCCCTGTGCTGCTGCACTGCCATCAAAGTGCTGCATTCCTAGCAGGCAGCTCAGGGCCTGGCCTCCACAGCCTCTTCCAGCACAAATCCTGTACCATGTCCAGCTCTCAGCCCTGCAGCACCCAGGATGTGTTTCCAGCCCTTTCCCTGGGATCTCCCTGCCTCATTCCAGCCCCTGCCAGGAGCCTCACATTCCGTCTCTTCCAAAGAATGTCCCCATTCGCCCTGCTTCCCCGTCACCCCCAGCCACGCTCCTGCAGCCTGGCCCTCAGCCAGAACATTGAGCAACGTGCAAAGCCCTTGCACAAGTTTTCCTGGATGAAGAAATCCCTTGTAATTTGACAGGCAGCTGCCAAATGGCACTGGAGAGGGAGGATCCTGCTCTCGGACCCACCCCAGCAGGACGCATCCTGGGGATGCTCAGCACCGTTGCAGGATCCAAGGCAGATCCTTCAAACTTTTCACAGCAGTTTCACCGTAAGAGAAAGGAAAAAACAGAACAAGCTCTGCTTGTGCTAACCTGGCCCTGTGCTTTGCATGGGCGAGGTGGGCACCGTGCCCTGCTCAGATCTTTCCGAGCAGCACTGCAGGTAGGAGCTGGGCTTGCTGCATGCCTCCAGCACGCCTTTGGCTGTGCAGAGGGCGAGCTGCAGCCTGCACTGCTGGGTTGCAGCCCCGAGGCAGGGGTGTGAACCAGCACAGCCCCAGCACAGCAGTGCTGACGCTGAGGCTGTTTGAGCAGCGATGCTCAGGAATGGTGTCAGGTGAGGTTTTGCACTGAGGGCTCCGGGCTGATGGAGCTGCAAAGT